AAATCTACAAAGCAAAACGCCAATTTGTGAACGAGGGAATTAGGATTTTTTGTAGAATAAAGAATTCAGATAACAAAAAAAAAATTAAAAAATATATACAGATGAGTGATCGTTATTTCTGGATTTTAGTAAGAGTGAAATTTTAAGGTTCTTAGATTATAAAGAAAATAAATGCTTTTACAATTATTCTCATCAAAGTACCCTTTTGGTCGTAAAGACAATTAAATGTAAAATCAATTTAATATCCACAATCTCATAATGTCATGTTTTGATAAGAATTATCAATCGCCACGTTTAGCTCTTGATAATTATGGTTATCATTATTGTTGTCTTGTAACTGAGGAATTGCTCTACTGCTGGTGATATATTGGGAAGACATTTTGTCTTTATCTTTCTTGGAAAACCTCCTGAAAATACAATATGAAAAGGTTGTATTGTAATATTTCAATCAGTCTACTAAAAGTTAAAAACTGCAAACTGCACTGGTTCCATACCTAAATAATATAATAAATGTCACGGCAAACAGGGCGTTGATAAACACAGAGAGAGACAATCCAGCGATGTAAGCTTCTGGTATCTTGCATATTGCATTATCAGTTTCCCCAGAATTTCCTAAATGTACGAGATATTTGAATAAAGCTGATTATTCTATAAAATGACCTTGTAAAAATAATGCAAAATATAAATAATACAAGCGACCCATGGGCCACAACGCTCACTTGAGTCAATATGGCACTGCCGTTTTTATCAGCAGATATTCCTATGTAAAAAATTATATCCCTGTTGTATCCCATCCTACCCACAAGTGTCATAATTTGAACAAACTTGAATCTAAAACATCTGAGGATGCTTCTATATTCATTTCACTAAACATGATTTTGCTGTACATGGAAAGAAGATTTTTAAAGATGTGGCTCCATCCTGTACCCCTTGGGGTCATGATTTGAGCAAACTTAATTCTACAATACCTAAGGATGCTTGGATATGCTGTTCTTGAGAACAAAAATTTATCTATTTTTTTCCCTATATACTAGTATTTTCCTACGTAAAACTTTGATCCCAATTGTGGCTTAACACTACCTCTGGGGGTCATAATTTGAACAAACTTAAATCTACACTACACTACATGAGGTTGCTCCCATATCAATATATCTAATAATGGTTTTGTTGTTCTTAAAAAGAAGATTTTTAGCTTTTCTGATCGAAGGGGGATCTTGCGTCCGTCTGTCGTGTGTCGTTTGTCTTCTGTAAACTTTTCCCACTTTCGACTTTTTCTCGAGAACTACTGAGCAAATTTCAACCAAACTTGCCACAAATCATTATTGGGCAAAGGGGATTTTTAAGTCTATTCATTGAAGGGCCACGCCCTCTTTGAAGGGGAGATAATTAAGAAATAGTGAAAGTTAAATAGCATGTTTTAAAAAATTGAGGAAGCAGTTGTTTATGATGTCAAAAGGCCTGCTCTTTAATTTATCGTGAGGAATGGTTGCAAAAAGCGTGGAAAAATCATGTTTTGATGCTTTTGATCTTTGAAAAGTTTTGAGATTTTAATTTGATTAACACCAATTCTTGATTCTTTAGTTGCACAATGCGTCTGAAGTTTCTCCTTCACAACAGTTCATATTTTGGTGAGGAGTAAAGATAAGGATTGGTTGAGCATTTATTGGACCCTGCAATATAATTTATCTTTTAAAGATTTTATTATGTTTAGACGAGTTACTCCACGAGTTTCAATCACATTTTAAAATTGTATGTACTGAGGCAGAAGACACAATAACATTTGTAGCGGAATAAGGATTAACTTTTTGGCCTGTATGATACATGTATTCTGCTAAATTTCCGTGGCATAACAGAAGCTGAAATTGTACACTTTTGCTACAGATATCTATGATGGAAAATTACCATAATATCGGAATTATTTCCTTTTAAATTTTTCATATAAAGAGCTAGGTTCACTTTATCCATAAAATGGCTCTGTTCATATTAATTAATTTACCAAGTCCCAATGTCCCATTTCAACTATCAATATAAAGTATAGACTTAGTGCTTTCATTTCCTATAAAAAGTTACCTCTAAGAGTCCAAATATTGAAAAACAGGCTTTGTGAAATTGCGATGTTCTTGAATTTTGAAGTGTTTTTGAGTACCTTCAGCAAAGGATTGAATTACGAGTCCACCCTCGATCCAAAAAATAAATCATGGATTATAATCTTCTGAAACAGTTCTTTCATTATATAAATTAACATTTTGGATCAGAGGTTGAGGTCTATGCAAAATATTGAAAAGAGCTTAAATGCTTAGACATTTTTGAAAAAAAATTTCAGGATTCGAGGATAATTACGCAATTTATAGCGTCATAATACATGGACTAGTGAGAAAATTACGATATTTTTAATAGATATGCAGTCACCGAGGATCCAAGTGAATTTTTTTGTATTTTCATCTAAAACTGAGCAGTTTTGATTTTTCAGAAATTCACTGGGCCAAAAAAGGCCCTACGTGAACCTTGTTCTTAATAGGAAAACGTTTAAGCTGTTAAACAAAGGAGCTATTTACTTGTTTGGGTAAATATTTGCTGTACAAGTGTCCTCACATGCTCGTACATTTGTTCATCCATCTTATCAGTGCTAATATTTATTAGTAAAAGTTATATAACCTAGTATTATTCAAATAATGACTTTGCTTAAATGAACTTACGCTTGACACACAAATTTCCATAATATCCAGGTGCACAACCTTCGGTACACGATCCATTGACTGAATTACAAGTCGTGCTGTTAATACAGTGACTGCTGCAGCGACGTAGACAATCTTTACCATATGTCCCTCCAGAACATCCTTAAATAATACAAAGAACATGTTCCCACTAAAACATAATGGATTAACGAAACTCTGATAGCATTCTATATGTAGAATTAAATTGAAAAGCTGTTACTAAATTAAGGAAGAAATGAAAAACCATATATAATATTCATATTATACTCACTGATTATATCGTACCTTGGTTGCATTTCAAACCCATCCAACCAGGTTCACATCTATATAAGCAGTTGCCTTGTATGTGATGACATGACTGTTTAACACAGAGAGCAGTTTTCTCCATACCAGCCTTCATCACAAGCTACTCGTTAACAAGTATATAATAATAATAATATTCAAGTCTTGTAAAAAATTAAAAGCCTGGCCATAGCCTCTCAAATGAAAGAATTTTTTTAATTCATATAAAATCTGCGCTTTTGAATATACAATTAAGATAAGATGATGTGGCAAAAATACCAACATTTGGAGGGGTACCGAATATATAGGTCAGATTTTGCAAGGGTCTGCATTTACCTGATACCTCCTAAAGTAAACAGAGGACAAGGGTGTAATACTTCTAACGTTTTAAAGTGGATCGAAGAACTTAAAAGACTCTACTTAAGCATTATTCAATTAAAATGCTTCTGTTAATCAATATATAATATATAAGCTTTGTTTCTTCATGAATGTATTCTTAGTTTATAACTTGTACTCGACGATCAGATAGTCTGTCATCAGTTCGTTTGAGATCTTTCCGTAGAACTTAGTGTAGTACTGCAGATAACCTTTTATTATTAAGTTTAAATTCTTTTTGAAAATCTTGTTTATTTTAGATTATTTGAATTTTTATCTTAAGAAATTGAAAAGTCTAGAGTAGGAATTTTCTAAATTACTGATTGCTGAGGTGAAAAAGAACTGTTTTTGCTGAATACTAGATGCTTGCCGAGCTAAGACTTCGGATAAAATTGTCTAAATAACTGAGTTGAAAAGAAACTATTTCCATTTAAAAAAAAACCTTTAAAGTAAGGTATCATTTTCTAACTATCACTTCTGCCTGTCACTGGCAGTAAGTGGCATTTTACAGTTACCCCACCTTTGATTAAAACATTTTATACAATAATGTTTGGATTTATTTCGAAGTTGCAAGTGGTGATATTTGTATCATTGCAAGCTTTGTAAATGTAAAACTGTCAAGATAAATTTAATATTTTTAATCACTTTACAAATTGTCATTTATTAATAAATGACCTTTTTCAACTTCAAACTGTGTTGCGTTGTTATCAAATATTTGTGTTTATATTGCATCAAACAGAGCAATCTTTAGTGCGAGTCATGTCAGGAAGATGGGCATAAAAATTATAAATACCCGGCCTATTGGCCTTACATTACATTGCACTATCCAGATAATAATAGGCTATTGCGTATACAAGTATTAAGTACACTTTTTTTCTATATATATTACAAAAGCCGTCTGTGCATAAGCTTATTGCAATTATTTTACATTTTGCATATGGAAATTTGATAAAATAAAATTCACAAATATATGGGAGTTAGGACGTATTGACGTGCGACTGATATAAAAAGAAAATTGCCGTTTCACTCCCCCTTTTCTCAATAATGGGGTGTTTTTTCTTCAACATTTTCGAATGAAGTGATCAAATTCATGTATTATATTTGAAATTTTTATAAACATGAACATCCTTAAATACACGAATTAATATGTTAACAGTCGCAGTGCCGCTGTATATTAATTTTAATGCACGAAGAATGTTTATATCAATTTACTGACTAATTTACTAATTCTGACTGCGTTGCCAAGATATGATTTTCACATTACTAGTGTATATATATTAAGTTGCTGGTCTTCCTAATATGTTTCTGTTTTTTGTGAAATGAAGGACAAAATTACAGTGTCACCTTTTAGTTCTTGCATTTTCCAAATATATAGATATCTATATAATCGCTATTACAATCAACATGACGTTGTAGTCATAAATAACATCACAAACAGTTTTGGTAACATAAACGCAAACTTTGAAATTAAATAGCATAAAACTAACAAGAACAAACTTTTTTTATCTTGATAGTTTTCATTTTACCTTATCTTGACATTTTGAAATTTCTGACTAATTGATTTACTTCTTTCAAAAGTTATCAAACTTTTTAGAAAGAAACTCTTTCCGTAAAATTGGTTTTAAAACACTATTTTTCTATGTACTGCATTAAAACTAAAAGAGAAAAAAAATGTGGTAGTTTCCATTTGAGATTTTCCGCATATTCTTCTCCTTCCCAAAAAACCACGAGATTTTCAATATATTTATTGCTAAAGTCGGCCATTATTATTTACCATGTGCTTTTTTAGTAACATTTGACCACCAATGTGAGTACATTTGATTGGTTGAAAGTACATGTAAAAGGTAAGTTAAGACTTGTATTAAGAAATAGAGCATTGCTCTATTTCTAAATACAGTTTTATAAGATTCGAAAAATCGTATGATACACTGTTTTAAGAGTGTATACGCAATAAGATTTTGTATTATAATACAAATCTTATAATATAAATCTTATCGTGCGTACCGGCCTTTACAAAGAAAACTTTACACATTTTAGACTTCGCAATAGCAAATGTCTGTGATAATGGAACGACGTCATGTGACGATGTCAATTTCGTTAGTATTGTCACATAAGGAAACACATCGGAAAATGTAAATATACGAAGATAGATACGTTTTGATCAAATAGTGTTATATTTAAGAGAAAACATTTGCAAATTTATTATTGTCATTTGTTTTAAAGGGCATATATGCCCTTTAATGTTGTAATTCAAAATCTTCAAAAGTCTTGTCTTTCATATGAAATTTATATTAAACTTGTAAAACAATATGGAACTTTTTTAAAAAGCAAAAATATTTCAAGAAGGAAAAAAATAATAAATGATATTTTTGTTTTTCAATGTAATCTCAGTTATAGACGGAAGGAATAAATGCTTACAACCTGACCTTTATGAACTTACTCTTATTACATTTACGTCCTATAAATCCATCTTGACATCCAGTTTCACAATGTCCATCTTCGTGATTACAATAGTTTATTCCGTGTCGACATTGGTTACTGCATTGTTCTTTACAATTCAGTCCATAGAATCCAATGGAACAAGCTAATAAATATGCATTAAAAAAAGACTGTACTCTACTGGTTGGTTCTTAAAATGATGGGATAGAAAAGATGAATCTGGGTTTTATATCTGAATCATTTGTATCCTGGTGTTTTCTAAACTTCTACCAAATTCTGTTGAAATCATATTAAAGGGTATGAAGAGTAACATTTTGAATTATCTAAAAGTTTATTTTATTTTTAGTAAGCAGGACAAAAACATTTATCAAAATCTTAAGCCGATAATGATTATTATGTGTTGAGGTCTAGTCTACTAGCTAAAAACGAGATCAAACCAAAATTATATGAGGATTAATGTTTTGAAATACCTATAATATATTTATATTTCAGTAACCGCGGCTACAATGTTCATCGAAATCAAAAGGTTATACACAGAATACACCCATTGGAGTAACTAATCTGTGTATCAGATTTTATTGAATTAAACTTTTCAGTGTAATCTCAGTTGTAGAGGGAAAGAATAAATGCTAACAAAATGACATTTATGAACTTATTCTCATTACATTTACTGAAGGCTGAGACGCGTTTGAAAAATTTCACAAAAATATACATGAATTGAAACCATATCAACACCAAACAATAAAAAAAGTAACATGCAGATTCGGAAAATTGTGATTCCCTGCTTTTGGGGTCTTATTGGTTGGAGTGCAATGATTGATGGTAAAGTGAAATTGACTTATCAGTTTATCATGCAAAAAAGTGTTCAACATATGTAGTAAAATGTTCTAGCGCCGAAGTTAAAAAAAGTTTTGAAAACCACGTCAAACTTCAACGTCATCAGGTAAAAAATCCTAACACATTTTGGAAAGGTCTTGTCGCAGTAAATGCATATGTCAAATACGAAAACCTAGACCTTTCTAAAGGTATTGTCATAGGTAATGTATATGTGAAATATAAAATCCCTATCTCCTCTGATTCAAAAAGTTATTACCAATGTTAATTTTCTTAAAACATAGGTCCAATTTCAGGGCCAATCAAGGTCAAGACTCAAAAGTCATAGTGCATTCTGAAAGGTCTTTCCACAGGAAATGCAGTTGGAAATATGAAAGCCTTTTTTTCTCATTCAAAATTAATTACCAATGTTAAATTTTGAAAAGAACTTAAAGATCATGAAGTCAAAAGTTGTCTGAAACACTGGACACATTGTTGAAGATAAGAGTTTTACAAAAATCACAAAAACTTTCTATTTGAAGTTACATTTTTCAAGGACACCATATATATATATATATATATATATATATATATATATATATATATATATATATATACATATATATATATATATATATATATATATATATATATATATATATATATATATATATTGGTGTGTCTGGACGTATACCAAGTTCTTTCTAAATTGGGCTTGAAAAAAGGAGGGAAGGGTTTTTTTTTTAATTAATCACAGAAAACAGATAGCTAGACGAACAGACGAAGGATGACTGATATCCCCTTTAGCATAATCTCTCCTGGTTCACAACCAGTAAAGCTAAGCCTAATACATACGTTATTTATTTAAAGAAATTAAACCATATTTCTCATGTGAAAGATATGAAATCTACATGTTTCCAAACTTGGGAAAAGTAAAAAATAATTGGACGAATACTTTAGATTTATCATATTGTATGTAATACTTCAAATGGAAAAATTAATAAATTGAGGTATAATACAATTATACATCCAACAGCAAACCTTTATCACAATGCTCCCCGGTATATCCAGGTTTACAGCCAGAATTACAACTTCCTGTTGTTCTGTTACAAGGGACGCCATTTAAACAATGTCCACTACAACTGTACATACAATCAGGACCATACATTTCTGCTGAACATTCTGCAAAACAATAGACAATCTCAGACTCATTCTGTACCCCCGTCTTGGATTTTGAAACATTATGGCAAACATCTTGTGTCTCCATCATCAGAGAAATGTGTACATTTTCAAGGTTGTTCATTTACAGAAGATTGTTGATATTGTTCATTGTTATTCCTATTATCTGTAGCTTCTTTAAAAAACTTACATGCATTATATTTAATTATCAAAACATGCTATATGTATCAATTTGTCACAGATATTGAGAATAAATTTAATGAACTACAAGTGCATGTCTAGACAGCGTTGTGTTTGTTATGCATATATAACAAATACTTAAATAATTTTTAATTTTAAAAAAGACATAATAAAATTGCGAATAAATGATTCATTTAGGTTAAGGTGAAAATATGGTTAAAAGGAAATGCAGAACTACAATTTTGTAATAAAAATATTTTGATATAATTTCACTTTTGTCTAGAAAAATGAAGAAATTGTTACTTTTGCTGCATTCATTCCCTGTCCATCCGTCAGAACATCCTTCGTCACATTCACCAGTACTATGATTACATGGCTTAATGTATCTACAATACCCAGTGCATGGTGCTCTGCACTCCGGACCGTAATATCCAGCAGGACAGGCTGGCCAATTATAGAGAAAAATGTTAAATAAATATGATTTTTTTTTCAAAGAGACAGGCAAATCGAATCATACCAAAATCTTACAATTATTACAGAATTCTCCTATCCACCCAGCTGTACATCCTAGACAGGTTCCATTCACAATGTAACATCTTCGTTCTTGACAGTTTTCTGGACATGGGAGATTACAGTCATATCCATAAACACTAGGATTCTGGCATCCTATTTGTTCAAAAAACAAAAAGGGGCTTGCCTTCATCTATTTGTAAGTAAAAGGTGATAAGGATAAAACATTCATTTTGGCCATTTACCTGTAACCGTTACTTCACACAATTCAGTGTAAACGTTTGAAATTTGGTATCCTGTAGGGTACTTTATACCATTCAGTCTTTCGTTGTAAAATATTACAAAACGTCCATGTGTTACACATGTAGTATTGAAATCCAAGGAAGGTAACTCCGGTCCGTTTAAGTAACATTGATACCCGTCCTCTTTAACAGTTGAGTTGGAAACATAAAGGGAGAACCCGGCAAAACGACCTCTTTGTCTCATAATTGTATCTATAGAATTATAACAACGGATGGTGTTTACATGATATTTTAAAATGGGAATATTCCGGGCCAAATAAGTTGCAAATATTATATACACTGATAAATTGGTACTGAATGTTTGATCATTGATTAAATTGACCATTAGTTCATTGAACTCTTTATTAGCATCCTTGCCAAATATATAATGCAACACAGAATTGAAAAGAGACCGTAGTTACAATAGTTTTGAAAAATGATTTCTCTAGCAGACCAAATGACTTAAATTCTTCTTTATGAAAAATGCTTAGAATTCTGTAGAAAATAGCATGGATTTATGCACAGTTTGTACTACTTGGAAAGAAAATCAAATTAATCTGTCCAATAACAATTACATGAACATCTAAATGAGAAATATTACTTAAAAGATTCTAGATCTCTTGTGTGCAATGCTATGAAATGAATATTGTATTGTAAACTCATGTCCAACTAGTTATTTATTTCCCGCATTGTATTAGCAAATATATATTTGTATTCCTAAAGGCACACGCATGGTGTTATTTGTTTCTTTTTTCAGTCTAGAGTCTCAGTTAGAAGATAAAGTGACAAGCATGGATAGGGTCGATTACTTTAAAAAGTAATTAATTAAATTACAATTACTTAGCAAAAGTAATTAATTAAATAACAAATTACATTTTTAATTTTTATGAAAATTTTTATAATCCTTGTCAATGAATATACGGAACATCATTTATTTGTATATAAGCCCAGCCTCTGCACAAACAGTACAAGAAATAATATGCTATATCCATTGTGTATCATTGTGGTTTAATTTATAACATTTATTTACAAAACAGTAAAGAATCTCTTAAAGAACTATCCGAGGTCAGTTTGATGCAGTTTTCACCACACAAAACCTACATATACACAAATTGCATGGCTTATGATATTTAATTAAAAGTGGGTATTTTAATAAAGTAAAATGAGTCACAACTGTAACCCCTCAAATTAAATATTTCCTTTGAAGGTAACCTGAACATCCTAAATTGCTATTTATGTTGAGCAATTTTACTTCATAAATAATATTTGTACAGATAGAAAAATCTGTTTAGATATTAAAATAATTATCAAATCGAAAGTTTTCTAAAGCTAGTGAAGCATTTTAAATTGAAATAATTATCTCCATTGGCTTTGTCTTCTAAATCATGGAATGAATATCTCTTTAGAGAGGTTGATTTGTTTTGATTGCAATTTACAGCTGTGTTCTGGAGGGCAATTATCTCTTCCCAACAAGAGAAAACTTAACTAATAATACACACCTTCTTTTTCTTTATTATTGATCAAACAACAAAGATTGAAATATAATAAATGTTTGTTTCGTAGCTGAATAGACGTAAGAAGGTTGGTTCAAAATTCAGATTTATAAACATAAATCAAAAAATTCAAAATTTACATAATGATTTGAAAGAAACTAGGTTACTATCAAGCCAATCATTTAATTATTTGTTTGTAAACATTAATAAACTTAAAATTTTGTTTAATTGAAGGATTGAGGATATGTTTTACAATAAAATAAAAACCAGTAAAATGGGGAGGTAGTGGTGACAATATATCATGAATGTGTATTATATAAAGTAATTGAATGTAATTGAAATTGCATGGTATTTTTTCAGTGTAATTAATTAAATTACACTTACAAGTAATTGAAAAAATGTTCAATTACAAATTAATTCCAATTACTTCAAAAAATGTAATTAATTACAGACAATTACAATTACTTTTTTCAATTACCCTATCGCTGGGGAGAAGATGTCTATCGTTCTGTTTGCTATTTACGTGTATTAACCATATAGGTAAAACAAGGAATTATTATTTCTCAGTATACAAATATTTCCAAAGATTCATTCATTTAATTCTTACATACATTTTCCTGCACCATAATCGTTAAACTGTATCCTAATACTGTAAATGCTGCTTATGTCTCCCAGGTCTACATACCACCAAACTGATGACGATACAGCAGTCACACCGATGTCCAATGTCTTCATACACGTTTGTATGTTTCCATCCACTACAGATGTAGCATTACACGAAAGATAACAGATAGCTGTTGTACTTTGAATGGCACTCTTATTTGCTGATAAATCCTCTAAATAGAAAGTTTTCATGTATTAATACTCAATAGAAGCACTCTCTGCCTTGATATGATTGTGTAATCAAATTTGGTTTATCTCAGATTGTTTTCTCTTCAAATATCCTTATATTTTAACAGTTTGTTTTATGATCATTTTGAAAAGCGTATCTGGAATAAATGGGTAAAAATGCGTATTGTTGAAAATTATAAATACATAGACAATACTCATATGAATTTTTATGTGAATTTTTCTTCAAAAAAGCGAAACTGTAACATTCTTCAATGTGCAATTCATATTTAAAAAGGGACATAAGTGGAATTAAAAAGAATTTCACGTAAAGCACATTTTTCTTCGTAATTCCAGTTATCACAAGATAAAATTGTAGCCTCTACTCGTACATTAGATATATGGGTGCATTCATGAGTAAATGATCATGATACACAACCTAACTGTTCACAGTCTCTTGTTAAGTAGGAGATTGAATAATAATTAAAAAAAATGTGATATGGAATTTAACCGTAAAAAATAAATTTGTACTATTTCCTAGATCTTTAATCAAATACATGTAGTGGTAGGCATACCAAATTTCTCTGCTATAACAAAATAAATGTTGACATCAACCATTTGATTTAGCTTGCTCGCTAGAAAATAAACTGACAAAAACTGCTGCACATTAAGCATTCTAAAAAGGTAACAAATACATGAACATGAATCTGATTAGAACACACACACATGCAATTGAAAACAAACAATGAGATGAATAAATATAGTTCTTATAAATTGTATATACTCACCGTGTGCAAGAATCGTAACAATGCTCAGTAAAACCAAACAAATTTCCACTTGCATGTTATAAAACATTTATATTTGTAGAAAGAGTATAACGAAAGAAGATTAACAGGAAGTAATATTAATATTGAACTATGGTGGCTTATTTTAGTCAAATTTTCATGATCTTAGAATCGTATTTTCAGAACAAAATAAAAATAAATCCAGTATACATTTTCGCCTGAGGTGTGCTTACAAACAAGCCTTTTGAGACTGACAATCAAGTCACACAAGGAATGAAAAATGAAAGTAGAGCTGATTAAATGCTCTTTTTATGGCATGAATCAAAACTTTAGATTATTTTTTTTCTCTTTTAATCTTTTCTTATGCTAGAGAAAAATGACCTTTTTAAAAATATAAAGCAATAATAAAATGTGTTACATTCTAAGATTTAAGATTTTGTACATAGTCTTTCATTCACTCATACTGATGGTTTTCTTTTTCTGTGTTCAATAATTCAGAAGTAAAAAAAAAAAGAATTGAATAGATTACATGCACGATCAGTATGTACTGGTCTCTGCTGACAAAGCAGGTAACAACATTGTCTTTGTTTGTAAGGCTCATTATTTTAAATTTTATTTTAGAGGAACTGGGATTTAATTCAATAAGTGGTAATCCAACTTATACCCACTGCTCCCTTTCTAAGGAGGAAATTCTTCAAAATTCATATGTCAGGTTTGAATATTTTAAATATTCCCAACAACCAACATGAATTTGAATTACCATATCTATATTGGATTCCAAAACTTCATAAAAATCCTTACAAACAAAAATACATAGAGAGTTCCAGTAAATTCTACCAATCCGCTTTCTTTACTCCTCACTAAAATATTAACAGAAACTTCAGGAGTACTGTGCAACAATATATTCGAGAAGTGGTGTAAATCAGATGTGGAAACTTAAAAATTCCAAGGAACTTTTGGAAAATTTGAAATCACAAAATATTACCATAATCAATAACATAAAAACTTTCGACTTTTCAACTTTATATACAACCATTCCCCACGATATATTAAAGTCCAGGCTTTTTGATATCATTGACAGCTGCTTTTTCAATAAAAATGGAACTCGTAAATTTATTTACCTTGTAATTGGTCATTTGAAAAATTATTTTGTTAAAAATCATTCTGATTGTACAAACAAGTACTCTGAAGTTGATATTAAAAAGATGCTTGAGTTTCTGATTGACAATATCTATGTGGATTTTGGAGACCACGTCTTCCAACAATCTATTGGAATTCCCATGGGTGCCAATTGCGCCCCGTTGTTAGCAGACCTATTATTGTATTCATATGAAGCAGAATTTGTTCAAACTCTTATACGTGAAGAGGAGAAAACACTTGCTGTGGCCTTGAACTCGACATTTAGATATATCGACGACGTATTGTCAATTAACAATGGTTATTTCCATTCTTATGTCGATACGATATATCCCGGTGAGCTTGAAATAAAAGAAAGCACAGAGTCTGACACATCTATTTAATATTTGGATATTTTACTAGAAAAAGACGTTAATGGTAATCTTACAACCAAGCTTTATGATAAACGTGATGACATTAACTTTTCAATCGTCAACTTCCCTTACATATTCAGCAATATACCTTCATCACCTGCACACGGGGTTTATATATCTCAGTTGATTCGATACGCAGGAGCATGCTCTACTTATAAACAATTTCTAAAACGAGGTAAGTTATTGACAAAAAGTTGATGAAACAAGAATATCAACAGTCTCGTTTAAAGTCATCATTTTGAAAGTTTTATTGTCGATACAATCACCTTGTCAGCAAATACAATTTATCATTAAATCAAATACTTTCTGACGTTTTTCATACTAATTGTTAGGCCATTATTTACACACTGAATTGTCGACGGATTTTGCCGTTATTTCCCGACAAGGAGCAGATGGCGGGTGTGACCGGTCGGCAGCGGATGCTCACTCCTCTATGGCACCTGATCCCACCTCTGATGTTTTAGAGGTCCGTGTTTGCTCTGCTACAAAATTCGTATTGTTTAATGGACTTTTAAGCTTGAATACTGTTCATTATCTCCATACATTTCA